TGGAGAGGACTAAGGGCTGCAGTATGTTGGACACTGTGGGAAGAAAGAAACTCCATGATATTCTCAGAAACTCAGAGAGGAACAGCAGATCTGAGGGCTATCATACATTTTAGGGTGGTACAGTGGCTGAAATCTTTGGAAATATTCACAGATTACACTGTGAATGACATGTTGAAGAAATGGGGTGAAATTGCAAATTGCACGCAGACCAAGTCAATAACAAGTGTGGCTTGGACCCCCCCACCTAGTGGATTCTTGAAATTAAACTTTGATGGATGCAGTAGGGGAAACTCGGGACAATCGGGGATCGAGGGTGTTTTTAGAGATGAAAATGGGGTCATCTCTGCTATGTTCTCAGGCCCAATTGGAGTGGGTGACTCCCTTAGAGCTGAGATATGTGCAGTTATGGAAGGAGCCCGAAAAGCCAAGGAATTGAACATCAAGAAACTTATAATTGAAGGGAATTCAGAGGTGGTGATAGGGTGGCTGACTAAAGATCAAAATGATTTATGGAAGTATAATAATGACAACAGGAAATTCAAATGGCTGGTGCGGGAGATGGAAGTTAAGACATGTTGGATTAGAAGATCARCTAATTCCCTAGCTGACGGTTTAGCAAAACAAGGGGCAGAAAGGGATTCTTTGTTTTGGGCTAAGATGTAACGTTAGTGTATTTGTATCTTTGTTTTTTCTTTTTTCATTTCTTGAAGTTCTTTGTGACTCTTGGAAGATAAGTGYGTTTGTCTTCCACTTGTAAATTTTCTACTGATGAATTAATGAAAGTGTTGTTGATCAAAAAAAAAAAAAAAATCAAGCACATCATAGGAGCAACATGATGCAATACCACTGGATATGTATCTGCTTTGAAAAGGGAGAAGAAACAAAGAATAAAAACTGATAGATTTAAATTTCAAGAAGCATAAAGAAGATATGCCACAACATACCTCTTTCCGCAAGATTGTTAGTGCTTCCCTCATAAATCTAGACTTTGGCGCTACATATATAAACCTTCTGGTTGTCTTTTCTATAAACATTGACCCCTTACCCCTCACAAAACTAGTAATATCTAATTGCAAGATCTTTTATTAATTATGTGGCACATGTTGCAGAAAAACCATCTAAGCACCAGTTGAAACAACTGATCTGTTACAAGTTGAAGGGACTAGAAGAGCTAGAGGCAGACCAAAAAGGACTTTGGTTGTAGTAAGATATGAATCAAGGGCTCATAATTTAACAATGGATATGGCACTGAATAGAATGAAATGGTGGAACACAATTCATGTAGCCAACCCCATATAGTTGAGACAAGTATTAGATGATAATGATGATGTATGATACAAATCAAGCACATCATAGGAGCAACATGATGCAATACCACTGGATATGTATCTGCTTTGAAAAGGGAGAAGAAACAAAGAATAAAAACTGATAGATTTAAATTTCAAGAAGCATAAAGAAGATATGCCACAACATACCTCTTTCCGCAAGATTGTTAGTGCTTCCCCAACATACGGAACTGATTCCTCAGGAATGAACTCCCTCACTTTATCAACATCAGCAGCTGTCCGTAGAGGATCAAATATAACAGGGCCCTTTCCTTTTACAATATCAAAAGGTATATTCATTCCAGGAAGAGGTGTAAGAATGTCTGAAAATAAAATAACCTGTCAAAGAGCAACACAAACATGAGATGAAAAACAATGAAATAGTGGCAAAAACAAAGAAATGTACTATTTAGAAGCATGTGCGTATAAAATGAAATAATAGACATATGAAATAGAATTCCTAGTTTGTGTGTACAAAATGAACATTAGACATATGATATAGAATTCCAGAACATGACTGAGGTGTCTTAAGAGGCAGAAATTTCAAGCATTCAGAACCAGAAATCCAGTCAGAGAAGGCATCAAGCACTCCCTGAACATCAAACATAAAGAGAAAAACTCAACTCATGGTCTCATCCATTTCCCTGAAGACCAAACATAAATTTCGGAACTGAAGCTACAATGTTCAATGTGGTAATCATAGATGGTAGTAATATTCCACCCAGTAATCTACTCTAGAAGTGCAAGGTAACAGAGGAACCAAAATAGGCAGTGTATTATATAGCCTCCTCATCTGCAAATTCCTGGTCTAGGAAGAAATCTAGACCAACCATGCATTTGGGGTTTGTGCAACTGACAAAACCTTCTCTGCTTTGAAAGACTTATATTTTGCTTGGAGCAAGAATACAGACTATGCTTTGAAAGACTTATATTCAGATGAAGCTATTCTTATTCTAAAAAGCGTTAAAGATTAAATGGCAATGATTCCTAACAAGGTAAACTTACCCCATCAGGCCTAAAAGCTTTCCATGGTTGTAGAGATATTTCAACTACAAGATCAACATTTTCTGATCTTTCACGAAATGAAGGATACTTCTCGCAGATGATTTGATAACTCTGTCAGAATAGAAAAAAGAAAGTCAATGGGCACATAGCATCACACTTAAGGATAGAAATAATCACAATGGCAGTACGTTGCATTGGAATCAGTGTATTAATGGCAGTATGTTGCCAGTGCAGGTGTTTCGCAAACTGCACTGTGAGTGTTGACAACATGCCCACACAAGAATTTGCTTTTCAAAAAGTTTTTACAAGACAATTATGACTGCATATATGAGTATCAAGAAATGTAAGATTATTTTAATTGAAGTACAGAATTTCTATTAAATTTTAAATAAAAAATATTAAATGCATCCATGGCTCATTGGTTGAGTAGAGGTCTAGTAGGCCATGGAGGCTTTGTTATCAGGGGAATTATATCGAAAGGCCCAAAACTCAAGTGGTGCTTCCCAAGCAATCAGGGCATGCACATGTGAAAAGAGACAACACACCAGGCATAATTATTTGACCAAAGTGCTTCTGGTGTATTGTCCTTTTCATGGATAATGAAAATGCACACACAAATTGCACTACTCGAGTTTATTTAGTATTTCTCTTGTTATCAGATCAGAGAGGTGTGGTCTTTGATATTCAACCCTTCATTCAGACCAGTTCTGAGGTATGCCTATTGGGATACCTATTGGGTTGACAAGAGGGAAGCTCTTTTGGGATACACTTCTTCGGTGCCCAAAGTTCAAGGCACATTGCATACAGATAATATGATGTTTCTGTTCCTAAAGTTACAGAACCACCCAATTTCTATTGGTGAAACCAAAATTTTTATAAATGGCAGGGATTCTTCTCCAGAAGATTGAGGTCTTCAACCATTGGGAAACATCCAAGCAACTTAGAATGGAGTTCTTTCCACATACAATAGGAAATAACGTTTTTGGTGTTGAGAACTTCTTTAGGGAAATGTCTCAAGGTAGACCAGTTTATGAGCAAGGGAATGAATCTGTCAATCATTTCCTATTGTGTTCCTATTTCAGATTGTGTCCACCTAGGGAGGACACCATCATGAACCTTCTGGATGTGGTGATCAGAATAGTCTGCAAAAAGGATGAAAGTGGGATGAGAAAAGATGGGGGGAAGGTCAATTTGTTATCATGAATTTAGTTCTAAAATTTTTTCTGGCACTGAACCTCCACTTACCATGAAGTAATTGCTTTCATTTAAACAAGTGAATATAAGACAAATTCATGCCAATAAGTGCAACTAAGGCAGCTAACTAATGCCTAGGCAACAAAGCTGAATAAATAAATATATACATATTTTATAATGTATGTATATAACCATATAAGTATTATGTAGTTACATATTAACCGTAAATAATTAAATGACAATTTACACCTGAATTTTTGAAAAATTACAAGATTTTTGAATAACCTCCCTGGTTTAAAGGGAAATGCATATGAACATAGATGAGTTACACAAATTCATATCAATACATAAAGGGGCATAATTAATTGTCCCCCCACCCACAAAGATGGAATTTAGCATGACTACCCTTTTGGTATTGCTGTTTTGCTACTTGTAGCAACATTTCTAGTATACCTATTAGGTAAAAACAACAGAAATGTAGCATTTAGAGTATGTGCTGCAATTAGGATGTGACAACGCATTAAAGCGTTTAGTGGTTCACTTTTCAATGCACCACATCAGAGGGAGCATTGCTGCAACACATCCTGAATTGTCAAAACATCAAAAAGGTGTTCCCTTCAACACACCCAGCATGAAATTCTAGGTGTTGTGCTGCTGTTTTAGGCACAAAGCGTGGGAGTTAGCAAACATGTTTTTTTTGCCCTTTTTTCCCTATTTCATCCAGCATGATTATGTGGCAAATCCATGCAATAATGCAACCATAAAACACAGCCACGCCAAAAAGGAAAACACCACCTGCCTAGTTGGTAGCCTAGGCGATTGACATCTAAAATGCATAGGCGGTTGCCTAGTCAATACCTAGGTGATGCTTTAACCATCAGATAATATTCCATATCTAATGATTCCAAGAGATTATCTTTCCAGAAGATAAAACCTTGGAGGGAGTCGTATTTAAAATTTGAAATCTCCAGTTGTTTGTGCATATACTTTTAAGGGTATGAAGCTTAAAACTTATAGTATCTAAAAGACTAAAACTGCAGCTGCTGTCAAACCTGCCTTCATGTACCTCCCTGCTTGCCTCATAAGCCAAACAGGGGGTCTTTCAACTTTTTCCCCTCGAGCAGCATTTAGTAAGAGAGGTTTAGTAGCAGTGATGATTTGTGGCTCTGCAACAGTCTCTGGAAAGGCAATGCAAGGATACAAGGTTAATAGTTTACCAATATCTGAGCACAAATAGCATACCAAGTAAATATAACTTTCAAATGAAACCGAATATTTTGTGTAGTAGAAGATAACAGCTAGTGAAGGTGGGCATGGCGCAATGGTTGGGTTGCTTCATTGCGACCTGGGTGACCAGGATTCAAATCTTGGAAACAGCCTCTCTGTATGTGACAGGGGTAAGGCTGCGTGTACATCTGTCCCTCCCCAGACCTCGCGTTGGAAAGAACCCCGTGTACTGGGCTCTCCTTTAGAAGTAGAAGATAGCAGCTAGTGGAGAGAAGCCCAAACAAAATTTTGAATCTTCGAATAGAAACCAACTCATAAGTCATAATATGATTGAGGTGGTTAGAAAAGATCTGGAACTCAAAATCCAATAGATGATTTGGCCCTTCTCTGCACTGATAAAACAGGTTTTGCGTAGACGGCGACCTCATATAGTTGGGATGAGTTGCGTTGACTTTTTCAATTAAATTTCAAGTAAGATGAAAATGTTATTCTTTTGGCCTTAGGAAAAATAAACAGATCTGTGGGTTTTAGGAAAAATAAATAGAAGAGAAAAAAAACGTAAATAACAAAAAATTTATCTTTCATTACTTGGTAAAATTCGATTTATGAAACCTAAATTATCAAAACACACACACACACACAACGCATTTTTTGCACTGTGTAAATTTCCTCTCAGTGGTATCTTTACAATCGTATAAAAAACCGGTATTGCTCTGACCTTTTCTCTCTTTCATCCTGTCACTTAAATTATCCAATCAGAAAGTAAAAATGGGGAAGAAAAGCTTTTCTGAAAGAGGAGGCGGATTTCAGTTCCATTACGGGACAGCTTAAAATGAAATCTGAAGCAATACATGAGACCAAAACTAACATCTAAACCGAGAATAAAATTAAAATCTATGACTTGCAGGAAAACTGAAAATAATTCAAAATGAGACGCATAGAAGAAAAAAGAAAAAGAAATGGAAGAAAACTACCTCCCACAGCACATCGAATTCTGAAGTTGGATCTTGAGCGAGAAGCAAAAGTCAATTTGGGAGAAATCGAGAGAGAAGAGAAAGAGAGAGAGCCATTAAAGCAAGACATGGTTGCATCCAGCTTGCAATTACAAAGAAACCACTTGTCTCAGCTGCGAATTCCCATTTAGCTGTTTCGGTTGACGAGGGAGAGAAGGTGAGAGAAAGAGGAGAAAATGGAATGGATAACACTAACAAGCATTCAGAATGTCTTAAATCCATTGAAAGCACTTTTACCATAATACCCTTAGGATCGTTCAAAAGTAAACGGCTGGTTTGGCTTTCTGAGTTTCGATAGTTCAGTTCAGGGAGGGTAATGATGGTAATAAGTAATTGGAGGAGGAGGAGGAAGGAAGGCGATATTCGTCAACGAGCTAAAAGTTCTTATCCACTGGACTATCCATTGGGGATTTGGGATTGGATATTGATCGTTGCTCCCACCATTTATTGCACAAAGACAAAGGGATAGATCTAGACATAGCTCCCAAAATTCCTGAAAACACCTCCAACCTTCAACTTTCAATTATTCCCATTTCTCATGCCTTTGTTTAGTGGTTCAACGACTCCTGGGGGATAAGATTTGTTTTTCAAAACAGAAAACAACTGCCGCATCATCAAAACCAATACAAATTATAGCTGATGTGGTGGTGGTGGCTGTTTTTATTTATTTAAAAAAACAAAATCAAACTTGATGGCCTAGCAGACTTCGGATCTCTTGCCCACGAGAATTCTATCCACAATATAATATTCTCTTGAATTAGGAATATCTTCCGGATTAACTCTATGTGTGACTGCAATGTTATGTGGATAGACATGAGCAGAATTTGTGTGAACAAAAAATCTGGACTCATGCAAATTAAAATTAAAGCACTCGCTAGGCGTTATATAATGGGATGGCCAGATGGGACACAAGAAACGACTAGTTGTTGCAAATTGAACATCATCTCTTCTTTTTTTTTTAATTCGGTGCCATTAATAACTTTCCTTTCTTGCAAATTGAACATCATCTTTTTTCCTTACCCCTTTTTTCCTAAATTGCTGGTTGTGAGATTTGATTTCACGTCAACACTAGAACAAACCAGCTAACACACCACCAAGTCAGCCCTCAGTTAGCTCATTGCTCATTGCAACAGCAGTATGAAACAATATCTAAAAATCAATCCTAAAATAGAACGGTTTTTACCTCTTGAGTTGCAGATCAGTGGTTCAACTACCTGGTTCCAATGGATTGGTCTATGACATCATCACAAATATAATAAAGTATTTAAAATATAGGGGTTTTTATAGTTCAGTCCACCCCTAGGGTGGAGCTAAGATTTCTAGGGGTGGACTAAATCCTCCCGTGGATTGATGCCAAATTCACAGGCAGGATGCGGGTTATAAGGGGGCTACTAATAGACTAGGAGGGGGCTGCAATTCAGATTTTGCGAATATATATATACAAAAAAATTACTAGTCAACAAACCATTGTCAGGGTCGAAGGTTCAAAACACTTACACCATCTAGATCAGCATAAATCAACGATTTTTTGCAAAATAAAATAATGGGCTGGTGATGGATGGACCCCAGATAGCTTGGATCGAACAAGCATAAATGAGACCCAGAAAAGTGATAATTAGACCCGGGTCAACAACGTTTTGAAAACATTGGGATGAAATAGTGTGCTGCAAATGAAAATGATATCTAATTGCCCGAATTTCAACTCAACAAATTCTATCCGATTAAGGATGATTGAATTGCTGAAATCTCCCGTTGTTGAAACCTCCCCTCCCCTGAAGTTTGGTAATTACAATCCAGTCAATTATCTTGGGGGCCTTGTCCATAGCCAGAAACTAAAATAACAAGAAGTCAAAACATAAATATAGATCATAGATTTTTTTTTTTTTGATAATTATATAGATCATAGATTTTCCGCTATGAGGCTATTTGGCTAATAGCCAAGGGTTGCAAAATGGAAGGTGAGATACAGTCCCATGTGTGAAGAGGCACTAACTAATATACCTTTGAAATGTAGTTTTCTACATTTAAAGAAAAAGAAAACAAAATGAGTAAAACTAATTAAAATTGAAACAAATGACAAACAGATGCGACCTACAAAAATACATAATTACATGCCAAACTTGGAGAAAGATGGAAAAGGAAAAAAAAAAGGAGATTGAATCAGAAGATGGTGTCGATGGTAAGCTTCCTCTTAGAGGGAGCCTTTTCTATAATTTGCTTCTGTAGATCCATGAATGCAGACCCTTTGTGTGCGAATAATCTTCGAAGATTGATCACTGAAAGCTCGCTAAAGCTAGCAACTGCAATGTCAGCTTGGACAAGCTCATACCTGCATATTCAACTCAGAGCCAACAGGACATGTAAGAGTCGTATTGTTAATTTCAATTAACATGAAAGTAGTACAAAAATCAAATAAATAAAAAGGGTTCAACTATGATATGGGAAAAACTTGCAACCACTCAACCGGCATCATAATAGCGGTAACCAATCAGATGGTATTCACCAAAATTCACGAGAGGGTTTTGATGCTAGTAAGAATAGGGCTCTAATATTGTTAAAGCCATCAACAGGTCTAGGGAAATAGATCAGGAGAGTATCAAATACATAAACATTGATAACTATTAAATATTGTTCGATTTATAGATAATTGTTGATATCCCATTTATCTTGGGAATGTTGTTAAGTTTTGATGTCGTATTAATAATACCTAGGATTAGGATAACATATGCCATGCAGTTTACTTATGGAAGATATCCACTTATCACCATCCCTTCTGATCAATGTTCTTTCAATCATTTATCTCCTCATAGGGAAACTGAAAAATACTTCTCCAGCTTCAACAATCATATAGACTGCTTTTATTGTTACCAATCAAAGAAAAATTCATCCACATAGACATGTGTATATATATATAGACACACACACACTCAAAATCTAGAAAATTGTGAGGAAACCAATTGGTTATATAATTAATTTGATCATTGTATAGAAAATTTATTAGCAAGATACATACGCAGGATGAGCACCAATTAATGCCACAGCCATCATTGTACAGTTGTGAGCAGCCGTTATGCCTCTTGGATCATCCTCAAAAACTACACATTTTGATGGTTTCCGGTCCAACTGCAAATAGATAGTCACTAAACAATTATTCAATCCTACTTGAAAAGAAAAAACAACTAAAAGAACCAACTTTGGGGAGGTTTTGTTCTCTTAATTCCTGGATTTTTTAACCAATACCCCAAGGTTCACACTCAATATTTTCACTACACCTTTAAGGATCAAATTGGCATGAAGCATCTTACACACACACCAAAAAAAAAGCTGGCATGAAGCATGATCCAAGGTTATGAAGTCCAACATACCTTTAATGAAGCAGAAAGGAATCTATGAGCTATAGATTCCATCCCATCTTCCTCTGTCACAATTACCTGCAACTCGAAAAAAGATGGAAGTCAGTTCATTCCAAACAAGTCAACCATATGATCTACCAACTATAGGAAACCACAGTGCACATCTAGGACATAGGATGTGGATCCACCATTTACTATGTTTAGTGGCAGATATCCCAGGCCCACAAGATTTAATCAAACCATCCAGTACACAAAGTAGCCAAGGCTAAGAACACAGATGTACAATGCAAAAGGAGGGAATTGTACACACCATATTCCTTAAACATTTATACAGGTGTTTATGTTTAATGCAAGAAAGCATGAAACAGTAGATTAAGGGGGATTGCAGTGGAAATGGATTTCCTGGTAATAATTGTCAAAGAAAAAGAAATAGCAGAGTTTGAGACATCCCTCCACCCCTAAAAAAGGGGGGGAAAAGAAAAGAAAAAGGTGTGGTGTCTGCGAAAGAGGTGAAGGTTTCCAGACAAAGGACCTACACCAAGCTCCAAATAAACTAAACAAAAAGAAAGAGAAGCAAGCAAACTATAAGTCCCTACAAAAACAAGTATTACAACCTAGAAATTACTGCTAATCCCTATAATTATTCTTCCTCCAAATTTATACCTTCAATGCTACTCCTTCCCATATTGGTTTTGAGGCCAGAAATCCTTTTGGAAAACCTGATAAAAGCAAGTAGGTTTCTAATCCCTTCTACCCATCCTCACTAAAAACATGATTATATCACCTACAATCTGTAAATGGGAAACCAAAATTCTCTCCTGCCCAACAAAATCTGCTCTAAGAACAGGTCTGATAAGGACACTGGCTACTAGTGTAAACAAGAACAGTGAAATATGGTGACCTGTCTATAGAATTTTAGTGCTTGTCAATATTATCTTAGGCTTTTTTTCGGATTTATCTTTATGCAATTAATGTGCAAATTGATGAAAACTTCAATTAAAACTATACAAATTATGTGTACCCAACAAAAAGGTTTCAATATACCCCCTATACACTAGTTCAATCTGTTAGAATGTTAGAGTGATGTTCGGCTGAGTTCTTATTAGCCCATTCTTATGTTTAACTTGTCTTGTAACTGGGCCTGTATTAATGGGCCTAATCCTGTTTAATGATTTAAGTCATCTGGGTGTCCCATCACTAATCAGGGGCATCCCAGTAATTTCTTGTACCTTGTACTATATTCATCTATAAATAAAGGACTGGTCGACTAGCTAGTACAGTTCGA